TAATTTTTGTGTTTTATTTTTATTTTTATTTTTGGTACCGGGGATCAAACTTGGGACCTTGTACTTTCGAGGCAGGCGGCAGCACCACTGAGCTAGATCCCCGGCCCAAGCTAATTTTTTTTTCCTTTGGTGGGTTTGGAGTTCAAGCAGATGAGCGAATGTCAGAATAAAACCTTTCCTAGCATCCGCTGCCCTTCCAGGGCCTTTAATTTAAAATTGTCAGCATGCCAGGTTACCATCTTTCTGGGCTCCAGCACTACATAGTAGCTAACAATTAGCCTTTGGTGTTTCATGGATGCTGTCAGAATACACAAGACTCTGGGATCAGAGACAGGCAAGCAGTGTGAGCATAGTGCATTACTTCTTCTTGCTTACCCCACTCTGGTCCCACGGGAGTGACACGGAGGAGTTCAGATGGACGCCAGTGCGTGTTCAAGGAATGGACTGCTGAATTTGGGGGCTCCGATGCTTTCATAGTAAATGACAAGGAAGCCTGTTTTCTGTGCTGGAGAGGGGACGCTTCTCAATCCCCCACAGCTGCGCTCTACAGATAGCGTGCTGAGAAGTGGCCAGAAGGAGGGATTAGAACCTTGTATTCTTGGGCTGCCCAGCAAGACATTGGAGGTGAGAGACCGTCGGGGAGCAGCTCTCCCAGCACCGAGCACATGTGATACAGGAGATGAAATATGTGTGGTTTTTTTGTTTTTTTTTTGGTACCAGGGATCGAACTCGGGACCTTGTGCTTGTGAGGCATGCACCAGAACCACTGAGCTAAATCCCCGGCCCTAGGAGATGAAATATGAAGGTAGTGTATCGCCCAGCCTGTTAGCTGATACGCCGAGCTTGTGTTTTCTAAAAACCCAAGAATGAATTCTAGGAACAATGGAGGTAAACAGGAGGAAAGTATTTATTGAGAGCATAGCTTCTGAGAGGCAGGAGGTGGCCCGACTTTACAGGGAAGTTTTTTTTTCTTTTTTCTTTTTTTTTTGTTACTGGGGATTGAACTTGGGACCTTGCGCTTGCAAGGCAGGCGGCAGAACCACTGAGCTAAAGCCCTGACCCCACAGGGAAGTTTTATAGAGCAAAATTCATGTAGGTACAACGTGGGCCACAGCTGTGATCAACCTATAAGGCTACAAGTAAAGTCGCTTAGGTAACAGTGATCCAATGGGGGAACAAGTCCTGTAACAAGTGTACATATGTGGAAAGAGCGAAGACTTTTTCTCAGAATTGATGGGTCCAGAGGTCTAGGGCACCCACCAGGGTGACTGATGTCGATCTAGGCTTCATTAGGTCGGTGTTTGTCTTTTGAGGAAGTATCTAGGCTTGGTCATTTTGTCTTTATCTTGAGGTCTGGACTCTAGCAGATATGTCTCCAGCCACAGTTGTGATGTTTCACCTTTGTCCTGACTCTCTCGAGGGCCTAGCCCTATCTGACTGCCTGTAGTAATATTTCTGTCTAACTTAGCTGTCTACAATAATATGATAGAAAACTGGTAGAAAGCTCAGAAAACTTTATGAAATATTTGCCATATGAAGAGGCAGTCCATGGTAATATTATGAACAGCCATACTGTTACCTCCCAGCTTGAGAAATAAGTATTATCCACATGATTGAAGCTTCCTAGGACCCTTTCCTTGACCCCATAGGTAAGCACTTTCCTGAGTTTGTTATCATATCAGTTTATTCCTGTGTATCCCTTAATATCATACAATATCGTTTTGCATATTTACAATCTTCTGGAAAGAATTTTTACTTTCCTTTTAAAAATTGTTCAAAAGCTGGGCATGGTGGTGCATGCCTGTGATCCCAGCACTCAGGAGGCTGAGGCAGGAGGATCGCTGTGAGTTCAAGGCCAGCCTGGGTTACATAGTGAGTTTAAGGCAGCCTGCACTGCATAGTGAGACCCTATCTCAAAAAACCGGAAACCAAAACAAAAATAGCCCATTAGTAAATGGACCCTTCCTTCTACATGTAGGGGAAAAGTAAATGTATAAATACATAAACTTTATGATACACACACACACACATCCAAGGGCTAAGTATACTCAAGGCTGGTGGAAAACAGTAACTATGAAAGGCGGCAGTAGAGACAGTGAGGTTCAGCTGCATGCTCTGTCTCGGGAGAGAAGGCTATGCTATGATGCCGCCGGAAGGGTGAGAGAAGGGGCCTGGGGGAGCTGGCCAGCGGTGCAGAGAGCTAAGAGGCGCGAAGGCCCAGCTTGCTGTCAGCTAACAGTTTGACTGGGAAGAATGTCTAAGTGAGGCCCCGAATCTCAGCTTAACATCTAACCCAGCAGGGGTGGTTATCGGTCGAGAATTAGCGAACATTTTAAGACTTTCTGTGACTGTGACGGAAATGTGTAGGAGGCAGCGGAGGCCTTCATGAGGGCGCTGCACGCATGCAAGGGGACGGGTGACGCGGGCACACGAGCAGGCCTGGAGCAGTGACTTACAGCCCCTGCCGTCTGGCTTTTGTTGATGGCACTCTCCTGGGGTGGCCCTGTCGTTTCCCTTTGTCCACTGCGTTTTCTTCACATTGCACATGGCCCCAGTGGCCCGATGACAAGCAGGCTCGGTCCCTGTGGGAAGACTGTGTGCAGGTGGTAGTTTGTTCTTTGACCACATCATAAAAGATGTGTGTGAGGGTCAGGGATTTTATTTTCCCTACAAACAAGCCAATAATTAGCTTGTTATAGTTTGGATTCTAACTTCAGAGAGCTCTCTCTTCTGTTGCTTCAAGTAGAGTTAAAAAATATAATGGTTTGCTTTCTCAGATATCCTGGTCTGCTCCTCCACCCCTACTTTTATCTCTAGTCTTCATTTCTGTCATCAGTGTCTTGCTCCCTTGTCCCTATGAGGACCTTTCCCAGGCATGGATAGACTGTGGGAGGGTAGCATCCTGAGTTTGGGTGGTGCTGAGTTCCCTAGAGCTCACTGCAGGTCCCTTGTAGTGGACAAACCCTCCTGGGTGCAACCAGCTCTCTCCAGTTGGTCCACATTGCTTTGCATTGAATACTTGGTTATCTTGGGGTCAATCTCTTCTCAGCCTCCTCAGATGCCCTTTCTGTTCCTCTGGTTTGTTCTCCACACCTACATATTGCGTTTGTGTCCTTTTATTTTATTTAATTTTTTTTGTGACAAGGTTTTACTATAAAGCCCAGGCTGGCCTCAGACTCGTGGTGATCCTGCCTCACTCAGCCTCCTGAGTGCTGGGATTACACACCCGTGTCACCACAGCTGGCTTGTGTCTTGGTACTATTGATATTTTGCACCTGATTGTACATGGGAATTTGTGAGGATACTTTGTTTTCTATTAAGTGTTATCTGTAGACTTTTTCTGTTGCTGTTTAGAACTCAGAGCCTTCATGCTGAGATATGTGCCCAACCTTTCTTAAAATTTGAGACAGAGTCTCACTAAGTTGCTAAGTTGCCCAGATTGGGCTTGAATTTGCCATCCTCCTGCCTCATCCTCCCAGAGTGCTAGGATTACAGGGTGTACCACCATGCCCAGCTCTCTGCTTTTATGTGGAGATCCAGAAACATCAAAAGGTTATGTTGCCACTACTATTGCCTTTTTGTCGAGTCCCACAGTAGGACTGTGAGTGGGATGATAAAAATCATAAGTAGAATGGTGTCTCACTTAATATCTCACACAGTGTAGACTCACTAGTCAGCATCTGTTCTTTAACTTTCTCTTTTCTTTTTTTTTTGGTGGGGTGAGACAGGGTCTCCCTTTGTAGTGCAGGCTGGCCTTGAACTCACTGTGTAGCCCAGGCTGGCCTCAAAGCCCCAGCCTCCTGAGTGCTGCGATTACAAGTGTGCACCACCACACCCAGCAGGTTTCCTGATCTGTATGAAGGGGTGAGGGGATGGTAGGGTATACTATTCCCACAAGCTTAGTGCCATTCTAAATCCTGCAAGTATGTGGTTGTGTAATCCTCCTAATACTTCCATGGAGTATCAATTATAATCTTTCTTACAAATGAGAAAACTGAAGTACAAATAGGTTAATTTTCCCAAGGTCAAAAGGGATAGTAAACTGTATGGCCATGATTTGAGGGCAGAGTTTCACCTCAGTTACCAGCACATGTGGCTAACCATTGTAGAATAGCTGCCTTGCTCAAATTAGGATCCAGCGACCAGGCGGTCCCTAACAGTCCTTCCTGTGTAGACCTTCTAAGATTCTGAAAGCTGACAGCTCCCTGAAGGGTTGTAAAAGGGTTCACTTTTCATATTCCTTGAAGGCAATTCAAAAGCTTTCTCAGAGTAGAATGGTGCACCAATAAGGACTGAAGTTAGACCTCAAGAAGGACTTTCCAATTATCTGTCGCTGGAAGAAAAATGACTCAGGTGGGCTGGGGATTTAGCTCAGTGGTTGCGCCGCCTGCCTCTCAAGCACAAGATCCCAGAGTTCCGATCCCCGGTACAAAAAAAAAGACTCAGGTGACATTTTCAGGAGAAAAAACTACTCAGGAGGCACAGGAAGAAACCTTGGAGTCTGAGGGTCCAGAAGACAGGTACTAGTAAGAAAGCAGCCTTTCTTTCTCCACGGCCCCGCCCCCACCCCCTTGACAAAGGACTGAATGCGGCCAAAGAAATGAAGGGAAGCAAGGCTTTCTTCAAGTGCACACCCGGGCCTGTGTGCTGTGCTCGCAGCCTGAGTCAGTGTCTGTCTCTATCTCGTCCGTCTCCGCCCAAGCCAAGCAGGGCTCTGTCGCTGACTTCCTGACACTTTCTCTCCTTCGTGTGGCTTCTGTCTCTATCTGTCGGTGTCTGGAGGGCGTCTTCATCTCCTGTCCCTCTGCTATCACCCTTTCTCTCAAGCTCGCGGCTCCCTCCCCCACCCTGCGCCTCTAGGCCTCCGCCTGTCCCAGTCCCCCGCGGCTCTTGCTCACTTGCAGTCTCTCTTTCTCTTTTCTCCAAGCCCAGAAGTGTTATTGAGTGTGATGTTCATTTAGCAGATGCCCGTGGAAATAACTTCTCATTCCCCTTTTCAGGTTCACTAAGAATCTTTCTCCGGACAAAATCAATCTGAGCACCCTGAAGGGGGAGGGTCAGCTGAGCAACCTGGAGCTGGATGAAGAGGTCCTGCAGAACGTGCTGGAGCTGCCCACCTGGTTAGCCATCACTCGGGTCTACTGCAACCGGGCCTCCATCCGGGTGAGAACGCGCTCAGAGCCGTGCTGCTGTCCCTGGCCAGGAGGCCTGCCTTCCTGCGGGGCAGCTCCACAGCCCTGAGTCTTTGCTTTCCTCTTTCAGATCCAATGGACGAAGTTGAAGACGCACCCAATTTGCTTGGTAATGGCCTTTCTTGATTGCAAGTGATCAGATAGGGATGTCTGGAGCAGGCTTTTAAAGGATAGGAGTCCTGGGCCGGGGATTTAGCTCAGTGGTTCCGACGCCTGACTCACAAGTACAAGGACCCGAGTTTGATCTCTGGTACCCAAAAAAAAAAGGATAGGGGTCCTGATATGCTGCCCTTTTGGGTTTTTTGTTTTCTGGTACAGGGATGGAACTTGGTCCTTGTGCTTACGGGGCAGGCAGCAGAACCACTGAGCTAAATCCCCAGCCCCAAGCTGACCCTTTTGGGAGTGGTTGGTACTTCTTTTTTTTTTGAGACAAGGTCTCACTATGTAGTTCAGAGTAGCCTTGAACTTTTGGCAATCTTCCTGCCTCAGCCTCTTGAGTGCTGAGATTACAGGCATAGAGCACCAGGCCCAGCCCCCTGCATGGCCCTGTGAATTTCTGTCTGAGATAGAGTAACTGTTATTTGGGCTCATTCTGGAACTTCTACACAGTGAAGGAATTTGCACTGAGACACAAGACCCAGGACTCTAGAGATGTGTTTTATACTTTATATCAGTTTTTGCTGCCAGACTCTATCCTTAGACTTTGTTGGGAAAAGTTAGAAGTTTAGTTTGTAGCTGGGCCAGGTGGTGCATGCCTGTAATCCCAGCAGTCTGGGAGGCTGAGGCAGGAGGGTTCCAAGTTTGAGCCCAGCCTAGACAGTTTTGCAATTTGGCAGGACCCTATCTCGAATGAAAGAGGTCTGGAGATGTAGCTTAGAATGAAAGCCCTGGGTTCAGTCCCCAGTACCACACTCATGCAAGTGACATGGGTTTGTCCTGACTACTGGGTGATTATCAGCGCACAGGCTGCTATAGCTCTTGTGCAGGTGCTCAGCTCTGCCTGGCTTTTTTCCAGTGCCTGGATAAGGTTGAGGTGGAGATGAAGACCTGTGAGGAGCCGCGGCCCCCCAATGGACAGTCTCCCATTGCCCTCGCATCAGGACAGAGGTTGGTCGTGTTCTAGCGCATTACCTGCTCCAAGTCACCTACTGAATTAAAAATGTCACACAAAATTCGAAACATAGAGAAAATAATGTAATGAACCCCACACACCCAAGATCTAACCAACAGTTATTGACACTTTGCCGTTCTGTTTTTCATCTTGTTCTGCCACTTTGTGTGTGTGGTGTGGACGGTAGTACTTGAAAGCAAATCCCGGATGCTGTCTGACCCCTTCTGTCAATACTGCTGTTCTGTGTGTCTTTATCTACACGGGCTGGCCAGAGCAAACGGAAGCTATCACATGTATTAGAATCAACAAGCATTCCACAATACCACCTAATCTTATTTTATAATCAGTTTTTCTAAATTGTCTCTTAAATATTTTTTTAGGGCCGAGGATGTAGTTTAAATATAAAGTGCTTCCTACCTGGCATATGTGAGGCCCTGGGTTCCATCCCCTGGACTACAAGGAAAAAATATATTTCACAGAGCAGCATGGATCAGAAGAGCTGACATGACATTCAGGTCATGTGTGTTTGGAAGCTCTTTGCTGTATCCTCCCAACACATAGTTTTTGTTTTGAGTACAGTGCGCTAGGGATTGAACCCACAGTCTTGTGCATGTGAGGTGGGCGCTTTACCACTGAGATACTCTGAACCCTCAATAGCACACACATGCTGTGCCATACCTCCCACCCAAAGCAGTACACACATACTTTTTAATATACAATTTATTCTTTGCAGAAAAGAATTTTTCTCTTTTTTGGGTTTTTATTTTGTTGTTGTTATTGTTTTGTCTTTTGAGACAGAGTCTTGCTGTGTAGCTCAGGCTGGCCTCGAACTCCCTGCAGTTCTGTCTCAGCCTCCCAAGTGCTGGGGTTACAGGCGTGCACCACCATGCCTGGCTGGTAGTTTGATTGAAAGGCTTAACCTGATGAAATTATTTTTTAATGGTAAGAATACTTGCAAGAGATAATAGATCGCCCGTGGGCCTCTTTTATCAAAGCACTGATCCTGTGGATGAGGCCTTGGCCCATGACCTCCTTGCTTTCCAAGGCCTCTTCCCTAAAACCTTCCCAGTCAGTGCTGGATTTCAGCACGTGATGAAGTTGGAGGAACGCAGACATTCAAAGCAAAGCACTGAGTGGTCTCAGCTGTATGAATATGCCACAGCGTATTTACCCATTCACTCGGTCATTTCATTTCCCTTTTGGGCTGGTATGAATACTGCAGCTGTGAGCATTTACACGGGAGTCTTTGTTTGGTTGTGTGCTGCTGTTGCTGTTGGGTAAATACCTGGGGACAGAATGGTAGGGTGGGATGGTGTGGGAGGATTGAACTTTTTAAGAAAGTCAGACTTGGGCTGGACACGTGCCCCAGTAGTAGAGCCCTTGCCTAACGTGTGATGTCCTGGGTTCAGTCCCCAGGACTAAAAGAATTCTCAAGTTTTTCCAGAATGGTTTACTATTGTGTGTGATTGCTACATTTTGCCGTTTTATATTCTAGTTACATTTTACTGTTCTATATTCTTGGTACATTTTACATTCTTTTTCCATGCATTTTTTTTTTGGTGCTGGGGATTGAACTCGGGACCACAAGCGGCGGAACCACTGAGCTGAATCCCCGGCCCCAGTGATTTAGTTTTTCAATAGTTTCAAAAATAACAAAACCAGCTGGGCATGGTGGTACAGGCCTGTAATCTCAGCACTTGGGAGGCTGAGGCAGGAAGATTATTAGTTTGAGCCCCGC